TGGTGGTGGTGGTGGTGGTGGTGATGTTGGTGGAAAATGATGACTATGACGGAGAGGGAGCCGAGGACGTACTCGACAGTGGTGGCGTGCGAGATCACGCATTTGGCCATCATGGACAAGTTGGCCCGGGGGATCACAAGGCCCACGAGGGCGATCACCGTCTCCGTCTCGCGCGTGTGGTCACCTCCCAGCGGCGCCGTGGACCGCAGAATCGGCTCCTCGTCACCATACTCTGCTCACCAACGCACGGTGCGTGGTTCATTTATTGTTATTATAATTCAACCAACGAAAGAGAACGTAAGAGTGAGTTGATGGGTGTTGATAGTCTTGGGTGGGCGGCGGGGGGGGGGCACGAACCGTTTTCGCACCACTCACCGTAAGCGAGCTCGGGGCACACGCACTCAACGTTGGAGATGTCCTTCGACCACCAGCAGGCGCCCCCATGCAGGCACTCCTGCCCGCACTTTGCGAAGCTCGTAGGGGCCGTGCGCGACAGGCCGAACCGGGTCTCCACCTGCACCTGCAGGTCGAGAGAGCTCACCATGGCCGACTCGGGCTTGACCAAGTTACATGTGATCTCCACCGCTGTAGCCCCCAAACCCCCACCACACCACCACACCACGCACCACACAACCCACAAAACAGCGTTGGACTGTTTTAGAGAGAGTGTTCGTTGGCCGTGTTGGTTGTTCGTCGTTAGTCGTGGTACCGGAGGCTTGGATAGAGTTGGCGATGCACGCAGTGCTGCCACCATCACCACCACCACCACCGGTGATCTGCACCACGGGCAGCTCCTGCGGGTCCGGGTGGAGGTCCCTGCCGGTGATGCGCAGCTTCGGCACGTTGTTGACCAGGGTGATCTGGGTTCCCATGATCCGCGGCGCTCCCTCCTGCACTCCCGCCGCCGCACACACCAGAGGCCCGTCACACGCACGCACGCGCGCGCGCGCGCACACACACACACACACACACACACACACACACACACACCACGACACACGGTGAGGAATAGGAAGAAGGCAAACCCAGCCGCTATCAACACCACTACATGACACGACACGGAAGGTGAAAAAAGAAGGAAGTGGAGGGGGAGGCAAAGAAGGAGACTCGCGCGACCGGGGGCGTACCGACACAGTGCTGGATGCGATCTTGGTCACTCTGCCTTCGATCGTGGTGCTGCAGTATCCGTCCCACGGCATGTCGTCCCTGTTTTGGAAGGTCATGGTCCTGGACCAGGTCTGTGTTTGACCCGTGGTCATCGCGGAGAAGGTGAACTCGTCCTGCACGCGCTGCGACGGATCGTCGCCGTGGGCCCAGGTGCAAATCGCGCCGTCGGCGTCTTTCTCCCAGGCGTCGATCTTGATCGTCAGCTGCGAGCTCTGAGTCGTGAAGTCGGCCTCCCACTGGAGCGCTTGCTCCCACGGCATGCTGTTGTCGCTGTTGCCCGTCACGCACATGCTCTTTCCGTCGACGATGACGTTCCACGCCCACTCTTCGTCTCCATCATTCTTGTCCAAGCTGCCGCGCCGCCCGGGTGGCAAGAAAGAATCAGACAGCTTTGCTATTTTCTACTTTTATATGTATGTTTATGCCCCCCTCCTCCTCCGCATTCACACAACACCGACAAAAAAGAAAGAAATGAAAAGAGATGGGTAGCCGTACTGATGACACCAATTGGTAAGCTGCACCTTGGTGATGGTGACGGTGTAGTCGTCGGCCGCCACTTGAGGTAACATCGTCATCATCAGCATCATATTGAGAACAAACAGCACTAAGAAGGAGACCATAAGCCGCAATCCTCCAGATGGAATGGGCCGCATCCCGTTCTATCCCTTGCCGTAGGCAAGCACGGCGGACCTTACTGCACGCGGAGCTCCCAGCTGAAAAAACGAACGTTCGCTCAATCACCAGCCAGACAGCCTAGAGGTGGTCCGTTGCAGCGACTATTAAAGATTGGGACGGAAGGGTGAACCCAAAAGAAACTGGACAGCAGGTTTCAGTTCAAAGGAAAGAATGTTGTCCTTTTTTGTTTGCGGTCTCCTCTGGTGAAGTGAACGAGTGACGAAAACGGCCACGGAGACGTAAGGCCGCCAGTATCGCAGAAAGAAGGGAGCGGAAGGCAAGGAAAACTGTCGGTGTGATTCGATTAACGTTTGGGCAATTCAACAGCCTGTGCGGCCTCAAGTTTGGCGGTCGAAGATGTTGGAGGACAAGCTGTTGTTCCTCCTGTTACTGGTCTTGGCCAGCGTAGCGATGGCCGCCGGCCTGGCGCCCAGCAAGCGGCAGCTCTTCGCCAACCCCACGTACGCCTGCGCGCTGCGCTCCACCGGCCACGTAGACTGCTGGGGACAGGATCCAGGCGGAGGATCAGTCGCGGCCCCCACTAACCAACAGTTCTGGGCCATCTCATCGGGTGTCGCGTTCACGTGCGCCCTTGCCTACGATGGCCACGTCCAATGCTGGGGCGATGGCGCGAAGTCCTACTCCTCGACGGCGCAGTCTGTCATGGTTCGCAACGACACCCTGTGCGTGCGAACCGACGACCTCCACTTCGAATGCCCCGGGTCTGACCCAGACAACCTCGTTGGATCATACACGTTCAGTAAGCTGGCTTTCACTCATAACCGGACCTGTGCAGCCCATTCTTCCAGCGGTACTATTGTGTGCTGGAACAGAGCTGGGACTCTTCTGGCGTGGTCGACGATAGACATGGCCCAGATGGTGATGAGCGACTCGTGGACTTGCGGCGTAGAACAGGGCACAGGCGCACTTCAGTGCATGGAGGTGGCCGAGGAGTACGATGATTACGGACTACCCCTACCGGTGGCTCAGCCTCCGCCGCCCCCAGAGGGAATATTCCTGCCAGGTACCCTCGTGTCGAATGGCGATGACTTCTGCGCGCTGAGCGTGGACCACATGGCCGCCTGCTGGGGCAACAGCTTCCCAGCGGGGACGCTGAACTCGGTTGCCACGACCGCCTTCGTACAGCTGACACTTGGTGAGAGATTCGCCTGCGGTCTCCAAGCCAGTGGTACCCCCCTTTGCTGGGGCGACAACACCCACGGGGTGATGAGCCCGCCCGATGGCGTGACATTTGTGCTCCTGGCAGCAAGCAGCGGCTACGTGTGCGGCATGCGCGAAGACGAGGTGACGGTCTGCTGGGGTGCTAATGCGCCGACCGACCGGCCCTGCCCCACGGCCTGCTTCCACAACGGCACCCTTGACGCGGACGAGTGCCGCTGCCAATGCCCCTCAGTTGAGCGGAACTGTACGTGCCCGGTGGACAGCTGCAAGAACGGCGGCCGTGTGCAGAACGATGGGTCCTGCTCCTGTGAGTGCCACAATTCCTGCAGCACCGGCTGTGTTCGCCAGGCTGACTGCTCATGCCGCTGCCCAGCGACCCCGCCACCCCCAAATCTGTCTGATGTGCCCGGCAGCGCGCCCCAGTCAGCGCTGTCGTATAGGATCTCTGGGGGCGAGTCCACCCTCCCGGTAGAGAAGATCACCGGTCAGACCATTCCCGACGCTACGGAGTGTCGCAAGGTTCTGGTCTACCTGCGCCTTGCCGACACGGCTGTCTGGAGCGGAGCCAGCTGCGCAGATTCGGGGAGCCTGTTCGTCGGCGCAAACATGGCCAACCTGGACATCAACCAGCACCGCATGGCCTCGGTGAGGTTGTCGGGCGACAAGAACGGCGGCTGGCTCTACCGGATCATCAAGTGCGTTCCTGAGAACAACACCCTACTGATATGTCCCCTCAACTGGAGCATGGACTCGGTCCACTGCCCCGGACCGGACAGGGACTGCTCCCAGTGCCTCCCGCGGGGCCGAGGTTCGACCAACACCACTGACTACTCGAGCACGTGTACCAAGGGGCCGGCTCCGGATCAAGCCAGTCAACTGAGTTCGGTAGTCCTGGCCGGCGGCTACTCGGGCTACCACGCCGAGCGGAGCGGATCCTCCAACTGGCAAGTGCCGCTTCCGCAGGGTGTCACCTGTGCAACGCGGTTCCTCATGTTCCGCTCGCAGGAGTGGGTGTTGGAATTCGACGGGTGGTGGACCTATACGGGCTTCTTGCTCGTGAAGCTCCACGCAGATGGAAACGGCGACTATTCGTACATCTACCACGGTTGCAACGAAGCTAGCTCCTCGATCCTGCTGGAACCTCGCAATTGGGCCATCTCTCCCCTACACTGCCCCGACCTGGACTGCTCCTCATGCTTGGCGTCTTCACAGCAGGACACTTGCTTGCCTAGCAACATGGTTCCCTATGGATTGGAAGCCACTGCTGGGCTTAACAACAGCATGACTCTATCTTGGCGCGACGCTGGAGCACCACCTGGCACCATCTACGCCGTCTACATTTCGAGTGCCAACACCCCCGCGATCAGATACATCACTTCGTCGAGGCTGTTGCAGGTCGATCTTAGTGGCACTGGGCTGGGAACTCGCCTACAGGCAAGAGTGGTTCGAGTGTACTGCCCGACCACCTGTCCGACTGGTGGTTGTTCCTTCAACTCCTCTGGCGGCGTCCAGCTTGCCCGGTCGGTGGCGGAGCGCGACGAGTGTGAGGACGGAGTGGTTGATTGCATGGGCGTGTGCAACGGCACGGCCCTCCGCAATCCGTGCGGCGTGTGCACACTGCCGGCCGACTACTACATGGGCGACGACTATTGGGTGGACTGCGCCAACACCTGTGGTGGCTCGGCCTACATCAGCGAGTGCGGCGTTTGTGTCGGTGGCCGCTCTGGTCTTGCACCAAACGCACACAAGGATTGCCAAGGGACGTGCTTCGGCAAGGCCACTCGCGACGAGTGCGGCGTGTGCCACGACGAGGACGACCACCGCTCGAGCCGGGACTGCACTGGCATGTGCGGCGGCCAGGCCGTGGTGGACGAGTGCGGCCAGTGCGTGCTGGGCACCACCGGGCGCGAGATGAACGCCGCCAAGGACTGCGCTGGTCAGTGCTTCGGCAAGCGCCTCCCCACCGACCCCGCATGTCAGTGTGAGCGCGAGGAGCTGGACAGTTGCTTCGTGTGTGGCGGCGACAACTCCACGTGCGCGGGCTGCGATGGTGTGCCCAACTCGGGAATGGTGCGGGACCTGTGCGGCGTGTGCGGCGGCGACAACACGACGTGCTGCTTCCTGCCCTTCGCCCAGGCCACCGTCGTCATCCGCGACTTCCAGGCCATCGCGCTGCGCACCACGCTGGACGCCGGCGAGACTCTCCTCGTGCAGAACCTGCACGAGGGCCGTGCCTACACTGTAACACTTTCACAGCTCGACGACGGCGAGGCCCTGCCGCCGCGCATTTTCTCGGAGCTGCGGCCAGGCAACGCCCTGCGCATCGAGATCTCGCAACCCGGCAAGTACCGACTGACCACGGTGGAGAGCAGCACCGTCTCGGCTGTCTTCACCGTTCGCTATAACGCAAAGACCCCCGATGCGTGTGGACACTGCATCGACACCGAACTCTTAAGCGACGCCTTGCCTCTGCATATGGAGGCTTACGAGCACTGTTGCTCGGTCATGGAGTCGAACAACGTGCATGCCTGGTTTGCCACCACGCACTACCACGACGACCTGGCTCTCAGTACTACAACCCGCGTGGTCCAGCGTTCGGAGAACTACCAGAGCGCGCCCGTCAGGCATCAGCTGCGCCTTGTGAAGCCGCATATGGTGGACACTTCGGTGTGGAGCGCCGTGGGCCAGCGGCTGGCGGTGGGCGACCTTGTGGTGCTCGAGAACCGCGACCTGCTCGACCACGTGATCTCCATCACAGGGCCGCAGCCCATGCCCGACGTGGTGCTCGACCGCGGCACCGTGGCCGTCGTTGGGCCGGTGCTCACGCCCGGTTCCTACCGCGTGGAGTCCAAGACCAACCTCATCAACACCACCTTTACCGTCGAGTTCACCTTCGCCTGCACCGTTCACGCCCACGAGGAGCAGCTGCCGGAGGGGGAGTACCACGGCTTCACCCTCGCGGTGATGTTGCTGTTGCTGGCTGCTGGCGTTGTGGTGGCGGCGGCGGTCTACCTTAGAGCGCAGAAAGGTGCCATCAGCAGACTTGCGCTGTGAGCAATTTGGGTGTAATACAAGTCAACAGCCAGAAATTCCATCCACGCTTTTTTTTCTGTGTTAATCTGCCAATCTACCTTTTCCTTATGTGTCGAATAGACGGAAACAATTGTTTTAACACAAAAAAGAGATGGAGGCAATGGCCAACGTGCCACTATCCTTCGTTGGTTTCTGATATGAAGTGAAAATAGCACTTCACGGGACGGTTCTGCATTTCTTAGCTACCCCGCTTGTTAATCTCTCTCCAAACGATCCACCGAGCTACTCGTCTTCTTTCTCGAGCTTGGCTTGGGGGTTGAGTACCAACCAACCAACCAACCACACGCGAATGGTGGGCGGGTCGAGGTCTTCTTGGACCCAACTAGGATTACCACCCATGTCGTGGGGGGGATTCTGGTTATCCTGTTAGCTGGCCTGATCGCCGTGTCTCAGGCGGCGGACTACACCTTAACCGTCACCAGCCTTCAGCTCAGCAACTACTGCTGGAAGTATGCCCCCCCCACTCTGCATTGAAAGGGCCAGCAGCTTGCGAACAGCCATCTCTGACACTGACTCCCGCATTTATGTTGTGTTGTGTTGCGCAAATCTGTTGTGTCTGCCCCCCACCAGCATGGACTCCGATTCTACCGAGGAGTGGGCCTGGACGTTCAAGATCGGGGACCAAAGCGTGTGTTTGACCGGAAACTCGGGCGATTCGCTGCCGTGGCAGTCGGCAGTCTCACAGAGCATCGACTTCTCGTCATCCAAGGCCCAGATAAGGCTGAATATCGACGCCTGGGAGAAGGACGCCCCAGGACCCCTGTGCACGTGGGAGCATGCCGACTCCGCCAGGCAACGCATACTGGGAAACGTTGATTTGAATCTGGCCTCTCTCACCTTCGACGAAACGCCCGTATCCTGGACGAAAACGCTGGACTTCATAGACAGGTCATACCTGTCGGGCGATCAGAAATGTTCCACGACTGTTGGAGGCCAGATCCGCAAGCGCGACACCAACTACATGGTACCACTTTTTCTTGCTTTTCTTGCGTCTCTTGAAGCCACAAGCGCGAGCGAGCATCTGAAATAACCTGTCGGCCACCCTACCTACTGCAGAACGGAGGACCTCTCGTCAAGGAAGTCCTTCTCTATACCAACAACGGGTTGCAGCTCCTCATCAGAGGAACGGACTTGAATCCTGATCCGCAGGAGCAGCCCGTGGTGCAGGTCACGGGTGTGCGCACTGAGTGCATCGCACACACCTTGCAAATCACTGGTACACGATCCACCCTCCTCGCACGGCATGGCCTATTTGAAAGCCGGCCTGCCACCCGCCCACTCCTCGGCCCCACAATGACACACCAACCTTATGCCACAAACCACAGCCACACAGATCTCGTGTACCCTGGTCTCGCCTGAGTCGGCCCCCTCCGCAACGCTCGAGCTGCAGGTGCAGGTGCAGACGAGACTCGGCCTCTCGCGCTCCGCCAAGGCCTCCTTCCCAGCGTGCCCGGCAGGGGACTGCCAGAACGGGGGCGTCTGCTGGTGGAACAAGGGCAGGGCCACTACCTTGTGCATGTGCCCCGAGGACTACTACGGCGACCATTGCCAATACGTCGGTTCGTGTCGCTCTCAAGAGTGCAATCAATCAATCAATCCTCGATTCGCCTTTCGGCACGCTCCTCCCCCGCCGTTGTTGGCACGGCGCTCACCACGCAGCTGTCCGTGCGTGTTGTGTCGTGTGTGTGTGTGTGTGTGTGTGTGTGTGTGTGTGTGTGTGTGTGTGTGTGTGTGTGTGTGTGTGTGTGTGTGTGTGCGGTGGGCGCGGAGTAGTGTCTCCGGATGAACCGCAACTCCAGGCCACGGCGCCCCTTGGCGGCGACTACACTCTGGAGGGGGAGACGGTGATAGCCTTGATTGGCGAGGTTATCCCCAGGGCATCTCTTTCAATGTCCGCCCACTGCCTGATCACAAGCGGCACGCCCGCCGAATACGAGTTCGTTTTTACAACGGCACCCACCCATTCACCAACTACCATTCACCAACCACCAACCACCATCAACACAGGGTTAAGGACGGGCAATTGATTGAACACGGTACCGAAGTATGGAAGGGTCCGGTGACGCCCTATGACGGCCGAATTGTTGCCCAGTCGGAGTCGCGCACCATCTCTGGCCTGTGCATCATGCCCGCCCACCACCTGGCGGCCTACGCGCGCGCCCAACCGTCTAATGACGTCCCAAGGCACCTCAAGGTGGGCGTCGTGTGGCAGTCCAACCTGGCCGCCCAGAACAGGTCGAGCAAGTTCAAGGGCATCTTCATGTTTTACGGGTCGCTCAATTTGAAGAGCTCGATCGTGGAGGCTAAGCGCAACCAAGGTGACCAAGAAGGGATACGGATGGGCAGCGAGCAGAGCGTGCGCGTGAGCCTGTGCGACGCGGACGGGAACAACCGGGTGGGCGGCGAGGACGCCGACCTGTTCTTCCTCGACTTTTTCGCCGGCCCTTCGCTCCAGCCCCAGGTTTGCCACACCCTCTCCTCTGTCTCTTACGCTCCCAATTACCACCTCTCACAGGCTCACTTCGCTGACGTGTGCCGAAAAACCTTGAATGTGTAAAAACGACCGCACGCACACACGCACACGCACACACAACCACATCACACCCACACGCAAACGCACACCCACATGCACACAACATAATAGGTGGGGGTGAACGGAGGCGTGGCCAAGCAGTTCAAATACTCGGAGTGCCTTAAGCAAAGTCAGAACCCGACATGCGCCTATTACGAGTTCATCGTGTCGTTCGACTTTGCCGGCACCTACAAGGCCCATGTGCTGGCCTTCAACCAGACCACCCAGCTCGTACAGATACAGGAGGATCTGGTGTTCAACGTTATTGTTCAAGACCTGGCGCTGCCGGTGGCGCCCGCATCGGCTTCGAGCATCTCGTGGGCCGACAGCCTCAAGGATCGCGATGCTCTTCCTCTCTTCGACAAGAACCTCGCCCAAACGGTGCGCCGCCACCCTCCTCCGCCGGATCCCTATCTCTCTCTCGTACCCCTCCCAAGGGATCCAACATAACACGTCCCAACTCAACACCGCCTACCTCACGCGCTCAGATATCGCCCAACACGGGAGCGGCGGACAGGTTGGGCGTGCTCGAGGCCCTGTTCGAGCGCGTCCAGGGCCGGTGGTTCAGCCAGCGGCAGACGGTGAGCGTGGCCTTCGAGAGCGGGCCGTCGGAGGTGTCCATGGGCTCGGTGCACACGGTGCTCGCCCAGGGCACCGACGACCCCTACTTTTGCGACACCCACACCGACGAGCTCAAAACTGGTCCGCCCCTCCCCTCGCATCGCCAGCACCTGCCATCTCCCCAGTTCTGTGAAATCCATGCGTGCGTGCGGGGATTGTTGGATGTTGTGCTGTCGTACGCCCACTGCTATTGATGCCAAGGGTGGACTGGGCGGGGGACGCGGGGCTGACTGCAGGAGCGATGACGAGGTCGATAAAGCCGTGGCTAAAGTGGGCCAATGTGCCGCACACGTTTCACATGTCGAGTGTGGGCATGAGCGAGACTGAATGCCTGAGCTCGGTGACGGTCAACGTGGTGCTGGTGCACAGCTCGCCCAACGACGTCCGCATCACGCTCACGCGTGAGGGCAAGCAGAGCGTGCTACCTCGGGCCAACAGCATGAGCACCACCGTCCTCCTCAAGGACTTTGGCAGTACGTCCACACTCCTCTCTCTCTCTCTCTCTCTCTTCTCTCTCTCTCTTCTCTCTCTCTCTCTTTCGCCTCAGATGGCCAGTACGGCGGATACCCTTCACGCTCGTCGTGGGGCATTCTAAGTTTATTCCTCCTTTTTGTCTTACTTGAGCTCTTCCCTCCTTCACTCACCGAGTTTGGGGGTGGGGCAGATGGCACACTGCCGCAGGAATTCACGCCGCTCACAGTGCCAAAACTGGGGTCACTGGCGGGGCTGCCTGCGCTGGCTGATTGGACGCTCGACGTCCAGCAGCAGCCACACTCGACTGGGTCGGGTTACGTTCTCAATTGGTGGCTCGATGTCGGGACCGACAACTGCCTCCACTTCCAAGGTACCGAAGCGCCGCCCCTCTGCAGCTTCGGCCAAGGGCAGCTGTACGCGCGTGCCGCCACCGATGACGACACCGTGTTCCTCGAATGCCCCGTCGGCAGCATCATCTCCGAGATTTTGTGGGCGCGCTACGGCCGCATCGAGGGCTCGTGCGAGGAGGCTATCACGACACCGCTCACGGTGCACGACGCGTGCGAGGCCTCGCGGGCCACGGTCAAGAAGCGCGTGGCGAGCGCATGTGTAGGGAAAACGTCGTGCGTAGTGCGCGCCGTTGACACCCTCTATGGCGAGGTCGAGGGCGAGCCGTTCCTGTGCGCCGGCGAGCAGGTCGAGTGTCGCGAGGACCGGTCGCTGCTGGCCGAGCGGTCGAGCCGGCGGCAGGCGCTGTACGAGTCGCGCGAGCACCACGCGCAGGCGCACATGGCGCCGGTGACCTATGCCGGCACGGAGGACCACTACTTGAAGTCGACCATGGTGCGCCACCACACGGAGCCCTTCTTCCGCCCGCGCCTCGACAACAACGGGAGCGTGGTGGTGGCGCGAGACCTGAGCATGGAGTGCAGCTCGGAGCCGCGGGTGAAGAAGGCACTCATGGTGCAGGCCCGTTGCAAAGGTGCGGGAGTTGTGTTGGTTGTTGGTTGTTGTTGGATGTGTCGTGTGTGTGTGTGTGTGTGTGTGTGTGTGTGTGTGTGTGTGTGTGTGTGTGTGTGTGTGTGTGTGTGTGTGTGTGTGTGCTCAAGTGAATGGTGGGTCGGCTCACGTAACAAATAACAACGGTGCACTAATGGCGGTGGTGGTGGCGGCGGTGGGGGGTGGGAATGGAGGGTAGATGCCAACGCGGCGTTCAAGCACACGGACAC